AGATAGAACAACATTTTCTATTGCCATCTTTTGAAATCGTTCCCATTGAACTTTTCGAGTTTCTCCCCATGAGACACATGAGTAGGAACATATATAGATATCACATGTACAACATGATTTATAGTAGCAGAAATATTATTATCATTTGCAACTATTTATAATAAACACAGATTATAAACTATTCAAAATAGGAAAACAGTAACACTTTTCAAAAACAAGTTATTAAAACAGAGGCAATTTATGTTACTGTTCAGTGTCACTGTTTTAATGTTTCTGTATGATGTCACTGTTTGGTGTAATTGTTTAACTCAGAGTCACTGTTTGAATTAAACACCAAAACAAAACACGTAATTTTTTCACAAAATTTTCAAGTCTCTTAAAAATATCACAGATTGTCAAAAGAAAAATTTTAACAATTTGTAATATTTTATAACAGTCTAAAATTAAAAAATGTATCAGAAACATAACAATCAACTATACAGATTCTAAAATCTGTCTTAAGATTATTATTTATGGTGTTTCAAATATGATAAAATCACTTATTAAAATTTCTGATTTGAACCATATAAAGTATAACAAAATAGTAACAATCAAGTGCAAAACAGTTGCACAAAAACAGTCTTACACAAAAGAGTTGCATGAAAGAGTTACACATAAGAATTACGCTTTACTTTTTGCCAAACTAATATAAATATTAACCTGTTTGCATAATAGAATTTGAAGTTTATCAAGGCTAGTGGTTCACACTATGTCCTAAAAACAGATTTTGCCCATACACACGGTGCTTATGAAATATCGAGTATCTACCTCTTAAGATACAATGATCTTTACATGAGCAGAAGTAACATTCCAATATACTCGTCCAGCGAAACAAAAATTGTGTTGTGTACTCTTCAACACACTGCATTAATGCCAAAATGCTATGTTCTCATGTTTGGCTTAATACCGAAGGTGGACCGATTAATGAATGAATGCATGAATTGGATATTTATAGACATTCTGGTGACTATTTAGATAGCCACCATACTAAGAGTCATAACCCAACAACAGCCAGAAGACACATTAAGTAACTATTCTCCATGAACAGGCACAACTTAAAAATTTCGGACTAGACTCAAAATTTCGAATTGGAGGGAAGCACAAATCCGAACCAGTGCGATTCAAAGAATACCAAAAATTAAATTTCGGGTTGAAAATTCTCATTCAATTAATTAAACGAATTTTTTTTCAAAAAGATAGGGTTTGATCCAATCCCGTACCCGAGCCCGACCCGGCCCAAACAAGTCGGGTTGTGGCATGTGTGGGCAAGCAACGCGCGCGCGCATGTGTGGTCAAACCGAAAGCATAGCACTCGCTTCGCTCATAAAATTGTGGTACCCTTTGGGGTCCAATCCCATAGAGCAAACTTGACCTATATATGTTTATGTTGAATTTCTTCCTCAACTAATGTGAGATTGGTGTCAAACCCCATATTGCATAAATTTTATTTTCAAATTTCAAGAGGGTCACTTTGGAACCTATTTTCTTATTTATTTTTTACTCGATTTGAACAAGTGAATATACTATGTTATTCTCCTCATGGAGTAGAATATGAACTCACAAAATTTTACGCCAAATAATGAATGAATCTCACTTTAATTTAGACTCAAAGTTGACCAAAAATTCAATTTTTACATTTAAAAAATTGTTTTGGTTTAACAAAATACAGTAATGTACGCTAACCAAATTTTGGGACCAAATTAAGAGTCCAAATGATATGACAGCATATTATTTGAAGTCTTTATTGAGACGCAAATGACATGACACCAAATAAATAAGTTTAAGTTAGTTTTCATGTCATTTAGATTTTTAATTAGGTCATAAATTTGGTCAGTGTAATATTACTGAACAAAATATTCCTCAAAGTTTATGTACAATGTTCCTATAGATACGAAATATATACTTCTTCGCTAACTGTCTTTTTTTTTTTCCTGTTCAACAGAGGTATTTAGATTAATTTATATGTATTTTGATTAGTTACTTCTCTAGTCCAGTTAAAGATAGATTATTTATGTCAAAATTAAAGTATATATAATAGATAAATTTCTTATAACTTGAACCAAAAAAATTATCAATATTTAAATTTATGACATTTAAATTTACGGTTCATTTCTTTTTCCCTATTACCACCGCCGGAGCTCCCCTTCAACTTTCTTCCCAGACTGCCACGTAGTAAACATCACACGTAAAAAACATTACATTTTCATATGTTTGCAAGAGTTTTATGACGGTTTGTCATTAGCTACGTGGCACGCACTAAAGCATGGAATATTTTTCTCCTAAAGACCATTGATGTCAGGAAAGAAGGAAAAGCTACAATGCTTTATTCCCACACCCCGAAATAAGGATAAACACATATATCTCTGTGCATAAAGAGGAGTGAGAGAGAACCAATATTTTTAATCTGAATTGACTAAAAGTTCATGCAAATGCATAACAAGACTTTGATTAAGAAATGACAGATATCTTCAAGCATCAAGCGACAACAACAAAGGTTAAACATCTTACTTATGGCTTGTAAATCCTTCTTAAAGCTAAGATTTGGACGAGGAAACGTGAAACTTAGATTATTTGTAAATTCAAACGTTTTGAGTTTAACTTTTGACAATTTCTTGAGATTACGTCATAAAAGATAAATCTTTTATGAATATTCTAGTTTTGGTGTGAATGACCTGTTTTTGACTATATTAAAGAGGAAAATAGTCAAAATACGTATAAGTTGTTCCAAATACTCCTGACAATTGAAACAGAAAACAAAAAGTACGTGAAACAACTCAGACCATTATAAAATAATATGTTTTAAATAAATTCATGGCCTACACAGGGTGTTAGTACTTAATAATGCTTCCCAAATAGGAAAGGGAGCCGTATTAAACTATCATTATTGAAGCACTGCTTTGCTATTTTGGATTCATCATTCATTAATAAATAGTTTGAAGGCACAGGGGATCAAAGAAGAAGAACCAACCAAATGGGCAACCTCCATTTTTCCCCACAGATCACATGGTTTGTAGCAACAAAATGACTTTGTCTCGCACTTTTGGAGATCTGGAAATCAGGATAAGAGGTGATAACATTATGTTTTCACAACATAATATATATCAGTCTATCTCTCTCTCTCTCTCTCTGTAAGAGGGATAGTTGTCTAGTCTCTCGTATTATAAGATTATTATCTTTTAGACTAGGCAGCTTGTTTGATTGAGTATCTCTTCAGTAACTATATCTCAAGAAGCAATAAAGAATAATGTCGTAAACTATATTATGTATTGAAACTTTTAACCCTTGAAAACATTTTTACTGACTAAAAAAAAAAATAAATGTGTTTTGGTGGCAAGCATTGATTAAGCCCCTAGCATGCAGGAGAGGATAAACATTAATATAAAGTTGAGAAAACTTGACAAGATGGAACAAGAGGAAAGGAATAAACTAAAGATAAAGAAGAACACTTAGGGTGGTTTTGGGATGCCATCGTTTGACATAAGCTTAGATTCTCTCGAAAAATAATGCTGCTTTTGTCCCTGATCACTCATAAATGTATATCTAGAAATTTAGACCATTAGGGTTTAAGACTAATCCACAGTGATTGGTTCATGGAGTTGAAACCTTTTAGCCCATCGTTTCATGTCGCTGGTTTGGCAAGCCAGTGGGACCTTATGAGAGAAAACACACGGGTAGCCACTAACTACTCTTAGAAGTATTTCTCTTATTACAATATCATTGAACTCATATGGAAGGAGGGGAAGAGGAAGGGGTAGGGGTGGGGGTGGGGTGGGGTGGGGAGTGATTTTTATTGCTCTTCCTTTTTTCAACTTTCTATTTGTTTTGTGTAGGAAGGAGATGGAGATTGGGAAGGGAGGGTGTGGTGACATGAGACCAGGCAATGTGGGGAACACATTCATGCAAAAGTTGAAAAAAAAATACTGTACATAGGAAAATAGGTTGTATAAGTGTGTTTTCTTGCTTTGAATGGGTTTATAATTACTATGTTTTCCAATAAAAACTGTTTTAATAGGACGGTGGACCACGCTGAATTGGAAAATAGCTGGGTTGTCTAGATAGTGCTTGACTATGGACACACACACACACATATTTATACATATCTCTGTATATCTATGTACACATAAAAATGTTATTTAAGATCTAATTTGGTGATAAAATAAATTATAAAATAATCATAGGATAAGAAGTACATATGTTCTAGTACTGAATGAAGTTTATGATTAATCTAATCAATAATTATAATGCATTAGATCACAAAATTTGGTGTACCAACAACATTATTGATGATATATATAAATTGTATTTGTCTTGTAACTTGATGTTGAAAGATATTGGAGCCTGGAACGGTTGGTCCAGCTACAAGTGCAACTAAAAAAGTGGGGTGTCATGTCTGATGTCTCCTTTCAATTGGCCCACATGAAGAGAATTTGCATAATTGTATACATCTTTGTTTAACTATCCGTTTGTGCTCCCCCCCCCCCCCCCCTCTCACCCCTCCTCTTGTGATATTCTTTCTCATGAAAGGGAGTTTGACGACCATTGGCGCAGCTTCCAATGTGCCCCAGGCCCACCACCCTCTTGAAATTGGATCGAGAGATATCAATGATGCCTCACACGGCTACACATTAAGTGTAATCTGTTTAGTAAAAAAATTATACCAAACGATCCACAGCCAGAGAGACGGAGACGGGTTTCAAGCAAGGGATGTGATTAAGGAGTGGCGGAAGGGGTACTTGTTTGGGACGGTGTTTGGAGGGGAGTGAGTGGGGGTGGTGGCGTGACTGGGAGAGTTGTAGAGCAAGAGAGAATGTCATGTGGCTTATCCCTGTCTCTTCGGGATCTCACATTACAAGGTGACACAAACGCAGCTTAAAGAGAGTGATAGACGTCTCCAACTAAATTTAATGATGCCCATTACAATATTACACAACATTCAATGAAGACCCCATCAAGCTGACCATATTTCTGAGATGCAACTCCTAACTACCAATTTCTTCCAGCTATATAACTTAAAGAAGCTTTTGCGATTACTTTCATTGAATGTTTGTAACTTACACTAATACAACACGGCATTGTATTATGATATAGTAATACAACCCCACCATGGAAGCAACACATACAGGCTGGTTAAGCGATTGAACAAAGGCACAGGTTCGTGTCTTAAGTTCAAGTCTTTTCGACCACATAAAACCTCTTTAACCAATGCCCTTTAGTTTGCAAATGATTGAACGATCTCGATACCTACGAAAAAAAAATTCCTTCTAAGCTCCAACAAACAAACATTGGTGTGAAATTCCAAGTAAACTTCACAAGCATAGGAAGCAGATAGTGACAAAAGTCCAATAAATGTAGAAACTGCAATCTCACTCAAACACCGAGACATCTCCATTCCAACTACATGAAGCAATCACATTAGGCATGACAGGATGGAAAGCAACATCCATGCAAGCTTGTTCATATGCCTTGATTTTTTTCATAAGCTCAGAGGATTTAGAGTTGTAAAAGTAAATGCATCCATCCGAGGAGCCAGAGGCAATTATTTCTCCATCCAGGCTGAAATTGCACTTTATAGGGAACCCAGAAACGCCATGGCTTTCATATCTCCTGTACTTGTCAAGCTTGAAGGGCGGTTTGGAAGAGAAGATTGCAATGTAATTTCCATTTGACTGAGCGACAAAATATGGATCAAAAGGGTGGGTTCTAATGCATGGACAAGTATACGCCTCCACATAAACCTGGGGAGAAACATACAAGCTTTAATGGATCTCATCTGAATACAGGAACCGCATAGACTACTCAAAAATAAAAAGTAAACACGAATAATCAAAACTATAGCCACAAAAATATACAAAGCAGAAGTCAGAAGTATAAATAGGGACACCCGATGTATGAGCCTTCCGTCACTACAGAGTCAACAGAGAGTTAGATATAAACAACCTTACTCCTGCATACAAACATACTATTTCCGTGAGTTAGACCAGTGACGCACAGATCACAATGCAGCAGTCAAGACCCACTTTCAAGTCAGGCATACATAAACAGTTTACCCAAAAAAAACCATGGCCAATACATGTCATTGAGCACATTTCCAAATCCAGGCCAACCTCCTAAGGATTGCAGACATGCCATGCCAAATATATAGATATAATTTCAGTTCAATTAAAGACTGATTCTAACCTGCATGGGCATTTGTATATCAACTAAGCCAAACAGTCTTCATCTACTGCAGTTAAACTGGTGCCCAACAAGAAAAGAGGGAATAGAAAAAGAAAATAAAAAGTAAAACAGAAAAAACAAAGAAAGAAAAGCCAAATAAGGAGGCAATTCTTAGACACACTGAATGTCTGCCAAGCAAATGCAATCACATCCATTTGAAAAATCTCAGGCTAATCACATAATCAGGCAATCATACAGACATAGAAGTATTCAAAACAAATGGAGCCATCTCCCCATTTGAGCATCCAAATATCCACATAACTCAAAACATCCAAATGTCCATAGAACTCACTATTAGAGTGGATCATCATAATGATGAAATCAAATCACCGAAATGTGAACCATTTTGAGCTTCTTCAGAGCCATTTTTAAAATACCATTTCTCATGAGAAGTAAAATCACGCCGGTAGATAAGAATTGCCCATAAAAGGAAGAATCTGTTGGGAAACATAAAATCTACGATTCACAAGTCCATCTGTTAACTCCATTGCACAAGTAGACAAGCAACTGGTGTCGAAAAAGAAGCCGCATCTATAGTATTCTTCTTAAACAACAAAGGGAAATGGTTGATGTATATTTACCTGATTAGATAGTGGAACTTGCCGCAAGACATCCCAAACAATGATTGAATTTTCGCTGATATTGCCTTTGGATTCATCACAGGAAGAAATAAATTGCTTTGCATCAGTGGTGAATTCTACATCAAGGATTGGACCAAGACCTCGTCTATATTCATGGACCACCTTCCCAATTCTAATGTCCCATAATTTAATGAGGCCCTTTGAACCACCAGAAAGAAATAGGTCGGAGTTGTTTGGATGAAATTTTACGACTCCAACAACCTGATCCTCCTTGAAAACCTGAGCCTCTAATCCCTTTTCAACATCAATTAACCTTGATGAGCAGTCATACCCACAAGAGAGCAAGAACAGTCCATGCTGTGACCACTTCACATCTTTCACAGCTGCATTATGATGGTTAAAGACGCGAGCTTTCTTATGATCTCTGCTCCACACATTCCATATGCAGATGCTATGATCCATTCCCGCAGACGCAAGCAGATGAGCTGAAGACTAACTTTATTGAACAGATCAGAAAAGAACGGAGCTGTAGACCAACTTTATTGAACAGAACAGGAACGCACCCATGATGTATAGTAAGCAAAACAAATCATGTCTTATAGATAATTTAAATTAATTTACATAACACCAAGCAACTTGAATCTAACAATAAGATAAACTGACAAGCATGGAACTGAACTTGAACACAGCGGCTCCGATGCTGTACTACCAAGAGATAAATTACCAAGAAACTATTAGAATTAGATTGGGTGATTAAAGCATTCATAGTTCCTAATACAGCACTGCTTCGAGTATTTTACGAATATAAGCTTCTTAAGTTTCCAAAACTAAATCCTCACATTAGCAATTTGATGAAAAAATTTATGGCTTTTTTTCATTCTTTCCTTTACTTAAACGAAATGGCAAATTTAGTCTTCAACTGATATTCTTTTAATTTGGCCAGCCTCTTGTTTCTCTTTCACTTAGACTTCCTCTTTCATTCTTACTGATGCTCCCACCCAGTGCACGCCCTAAGTCTCCTGATGGCAGATTTGCTTATTTGTCCCCCCATCTTGCTTAGCAGGTATCCACTGTCCACCAAGAAAGGAGAAAGACCTGTTATAGGACTTGGTGCAGCCACCTAAATCACATTAATAAAACGTTTTTTGCCACCTGTGCCACAAATGGCTTACCATCTTAGTTGCAAATCTAGAAATTGCCCAAGACTAAGTGGTTTAAATTTTAAAACTGATTTCACAGGTCTAATCTTGCCTTCAGTTTTGTCACAATATTAACAATAAATGCATAACAGGCTACCCAAGATCAACTAGGGGAAAGTAACTTTTACCCTACCATTAGACATATTCTCCAGTATAAATAGAATAAGGGTAGCAATTCTCTTCCTGTCATTGTGTGACATGTAAGCCAAACAATGCAATTGCATGTGTCTATGCATGACCTTTCAGCATGAGAAACCCCCATTGATGCTTATCCCTCATTCAAGAAATAAAGAAGAGATATTCAAGTAGATCGCCAGCAGAAAAATGAGACTTATATCTAACCTAATGAGACCATGTCAATAATGACAACTAACTACTGAACTTCCCAGACACTGGATAACAGGTTGAGACAAATATATATGACATGCTATCCATAGTTTCGCCAAAAAATCTAACAGTAATAACCTCATTAACCATGTCAAAGGCACAACTAAAAGGGAAAAAAAGAAGGAGAAGGACCAACATAATTGTCATTGTTAAGATAGATTCCTCACCGTGACTGCTTGACCATTTTAAAGAAGTGACGGCATTTTTGTGGCAATTAAGAGTTGTATACAGTTTTTCAGACATCTGGCCAAGCCATGGACGGCCCTTTGTTTGATGCCTCAATGATGACAGAATATCATATGGTAGATCTGAATATGAAATACTTCCCACGACTGAGAGCAAAAAATTCCTCAAGTTAGAAGGTAACATAATGGCTTGAATGAACTTCATGAATAAATTTGGACTGAGAATTTTTTCCAGTGTCAAATTAAATAAGTCTCAGAAGTAAACTAGACGGCATATATGGAGAGGGATGGGCAAGGGCTGTCTGGGACAAAACAACTCCAGCCATGGATCAGATTTTCTGGCCCACCCCTAAATAATAAGGTTCTGAGCCAGGTAACTGGGCCACTTGGTGGCCTGCATCGGTCCATGCACAGTAGAATATAAAATATAATCGTTTATAACATGAGTACATTTTTCATTATTCAAAGGGCCAAGGACTGAACTAATTGGTCTGTAACAGATTGCAACAGGAAAATGGAAGAAAAAAAAGAGCATATCTCTCAGCTCCCTCATTTAAACAGGTAAAAGACAAGACAATGGATGTCTGGGCTGTAGAGGTTTGTGTTTTTTCATGCTGCCAACTTTTTGTCCTCATTTTTGTTGCCTCCTTTGGAACTCCTATGAACGTGATTCGTTTTTTGTCCAACATTTTCAACTTTCCAATGATCCAATCTATAAATGATAGAAATTGGGAATCTGAACTACAAGCCTGAAATCACTCACCTATTCCAAACTAATAGATTTAAATAAACAACGAGCCTAACTCAGTCAAATTTTAGCCTTTCCAAGACCCCAGCATAAACATTGCATAACATTGTGAAGCAAATAAGCACATTTTCTTGTGTAATGGACTATAATCCATGGGCCCCCTTCTACTCCCACAACACCGTTTTCCTCCATGAAAAACTACTAAATTAGAGCCCAAAAAAATTGAACTTTTCTCAAACTAGGACCATAAAAGGAATAAAATTGACGGATTCTTCTTCTTTTCTTATAACTTTCTCAGCAACCAAACAAGGATTCACCACCAATTAGCAAAAAAATCGACAAGAACAATAACAAAGCAGATTATAGAACATGAGATAGAGTAAAGAACCAGGTGATGTGGTGACTGGAATTGGCGGGATAAGGTTTGGAGTCGTCGGAACCGAAGCCAAGACTGCTCGCTCTCTCTTCGATATGTACCTGCCGGGAAGAGGAGCTTCGGTGGGGAGATTCGGGTTGTGGGTCGAACGACATAAGGGCAAAGGCTTCGTGATTGGAAGAGGGTTCTGGGGTTTCGGTCGCTTCGACGGAGGCAATACGGGTCTTCCATGATCGGGTTCATCGTCTTCGTCTGAAGCAGCAGAGTACGCGTTGCAGAGAAGATCCATGGCCGACTCAAGTTTCAGAATTCTGACAATTTTAGTAATTCTTAAGGTTTTGGGTAAATTATATTCGGACATCTGATATTCAAATTTATTACACGGACACCACTTTATATTTTAAAAATTATACTGAGACCTCAATAAAGAGACGTCATTAACAAAAAGACTATCTTACCCTTCTTATTCTCTCTGTGAGAACCCCTAACACCAAGCGGCGCAGCGCCCACTACCCCACACTTTCCTAGCTGTTACCAATATCCACTACCAACGTCATTGGAAATCAAAATGCAAACGCGAATCCAACAACCAACACCATAGAGACCTACCCACAACCAATACCTTTGCCTCTCCCTATTCGAAATCCATCGTGGATCCAATTCTACACACAATAGGTTCTCCTTTAGATCCAAAATCGAATCACCACCTACACACAACAGATCTGGGATAAAATCCCAAAACTAATTCCTTGTTTGAACAAATTGAGGATTGATTGATAATCTAAAACTTGGATTGGGAGGGCTTGATGTAGGTTTAGCTAGGGGGTCTGGGTAGTGGGTTGCGATGCGGTTGACGAACAAGCATCGTTTGAGAGAAAAATAGAGATGGTTTGGTGGTGGATGGTGGCTTGGTGGTTTCCGAAACCCACTGCAGTGATGGCGGTGGTGTTGGATTTATTGATTAAATTCTTAATCATAATTAACTATCAAAATTAATTAATAATTAGCCAATTTATCTCGTAAATAGATCTAGTGCTATAAATAATTAATTTGGAGGATATATAGGAAATAAAAATTCAAACACTGTGTTTTTTCTTGAATAGATATTAAAAATGGTAAATTATATCCAAACCCTCGAGACTTGACATTAATACCCACATACCCTATTATAAAAAGGTGTATGCGAGGAGATATTGAATGAAATCGTAATTATAAGAAGATAGAAGGTGGACTTATAATTAAAATGGTGTATATATTGTGAAGTGGATTTAGTTAAAATGAAAAATGGTGGGATAATAAAATTTTGGAGAATTATCATTGACACCCCCTCCTATTATTTGAAGCATCATTGACATTTTCTGTCATATTAATGACGTTCACTAGAATGTAATTTTATTAAATTGATCCTCATATATTTTAGAAAAAAAAAAATTTCACACTCTCTCAAGTTAGATATATTTTCAACGAGGGCATTCCATTTTTTTTAATTTTTTTACTTGTTAAAATTCAAGCCGAATAAAATTTGATTAGAGCTAAATAAATTTCAGTTTTTATGTAGTAAAAATCGAGTCGATTAAAAAATATATTTTAATATGTAAAAAATATAATACTACTTTTAATCTACTCAAATTTTAACACGTAAGAAAATATATTTTAATAAACTCGAATTTTAATACATAAAAAATAGATTTTAATCAACTCAGATTAAATTTTAACTGGTATGAATTTTGATACATAAAAAAATTTAAATTTTAATTGATTCAAATTTTAATACGTAAAAAAAATTTAATCAGTTTGAATTAAATTTTAATTAACCCAAATTTTAACATGTTAAAAAATATTAATCTTAATTGACTCAAATTGAATTTTAATATGTAAAAAAAATAAGTTGAATAGGCTTGAATTTTAATACAAAAAAAATATAAAACTAATCAACTCGAATTGAATTTTAATATGTGAAAAAATAAATTTTAATTAACTTAAATTTTAATATGTAAAAAAATAAATTTTAATCAGTTCGAATTTTAATCAAAGTTTGTATAAAAAGATTATTTGAGGTTTATGTAAGGATAACTTTAGTATTTTAAATAATTTTTTTTTTGTTAAAAACAATGGTTTAACGGTAAAAATGTCGATGATATTTAAATATAAACTGGAAAAAAGTGTTAGCGCTGTTTTAAATAAAAAAAAGATATGTTAAATAAAAAAGATATGCTCTCTAAAGTGGTATGTATATTTATCCCATAAATTTTAATGAGTTGATAATAGACATTTGTGGGGGAAATAACCCGAAGCTTCCATTTATGGTAATGTTCTGTGTTGCAGTGCTATAAATATGTGGCCTCGTTGTTGAAAAGGCGAATAAGTTTTATATAATGGCCGAAGGCGGCAGACCCAGTGTCACCGCCGCCATTGACATGGTTCTTGCTGAAAATAAGTGGCGCTGGTCGGCGTCAGGTGACCATGCCAGTGGAGAAACACAGAGATCAAGTTCGTCGTTTTCCGGATATGTCGGCAGTTATTGAGAATATTAAGAATCGATTCAAGAAGATGGCGGTCATTGACAAACATGGCGGTTACTGTCGAAGGACCTTCCAAGCCTGTGACCGAAACCCAGAGATTGTTTTCAAGTCAGACAACGCCGCCGCTGCCATCACCACCATCACTCTGCCGCCGCCTATCGATCCGATCTCATGCAACAGTGTGTTTTTTATCTAATCACGCGGGGACAACGCCGCCACCACAAGAGCGTCTATCAACTCAATCAGATGCAAAGAGGCAGTTCACGGTTGCGTACACTCTACAATAGAATGGAGTAACAGAGCGGGTGAACAAAACCTTATTAGAATGAACAAAAGTAACGTTGAGAACTGCGGGAATAATCAAGTCATTTTGGACAGCAGCAATCAAGACCGCATGTTATGTGATCAATCGGACACCATCAACCACAGTTGATTTGAAGTCACCAATGAAGATGCGGACCGGTAAACTAGCTGGTTATTGTCTTTTACATTCATTTGGAAGTCCTGTATATACTACGCCCAAGAAACATCAAAGTTGAATTCAAAATCTAGAAAATATATTGTCTATTTAATTTGTATCTCAAAAAACAGTATTTGAAAATTATTTTTAAAAAGAGTTTTAATAAAGTGTTTTTTTAAATTTTTAGATTACAAAACATGTTTGGTTGTATATTTTCAAAAATAATTTTAAAAAATAAAAAATAAAAAATTTGTTTAGATAATAATCAACAATTTTCGCCCTCTCTTCAACTCTCTGTCTCTCCCTTTTTCATTATGTATCACCCAACACCCACAACCGAGAACCACTATCAACCCAACACCCACAAACACCATCCACAACCACCATCAACCCACAACACATAACCACCACCAACCCAAACCAAGAACCACCCAATACCAACAACCACCACCATTAGCCAACAGATCGTGCCAAAAATAAAAAATCAAAATCAAACCAAGCAGACCCAAAAAATGGGATCATTTATTGCAGCATATCTGTTAGCCAGAGTTGTGTTGTAGCAGATCTGTTGTAGTATTGAAGGGATAATAGAAAAATCAAAACAAAAATAAATCCAAAAAAAATGTGCCAAAAACGTAAAAAAAAAATCAGATCTATGGCTTACTTGAGTAGGAGAAGATGATCTACAGTCGCCGGAGAATATCCTTTCAGCAAAGAAGACAAAGTTACCAAAGAGTGTAGTCGTTCGGGTTTTGTCGAAGTAGAAAGAGAGAGAGGCCACAAAAAAAGAAACAACAGGCAAAAAAATACCAGGAGGATCTTATTTGCTGCTAACAAGGTTCGAAGGATAGACCTCTTTAATGAGCAAAATTTTTCTCTGTGTTTTCAAAATTTTTAAAAGAAACTCCGAAAACAAGTTTAACTTGTTTCTATTTTTTTGCTCCAATTCTCATTTTTTCTTAAAATTTTGAGAATAAATATATTAAACAAACAAGTTTTAGGTGTTTTGAAATTTTGAGAATAAAAAACAGTTTTCGAAACACAAACCAAACACCCCCGTATTTTCTTAGGGTATGTTGATGGAGTCAAGGTGTACCGCCTATGGGATCTCACTGCCCACAAGGTGATAATTAGCAGAAACGTGATATTTATTGAAGATAAAGTACAAGAAAAAGAAAATGACAGCACTACAAAAGAGAAACTAGAGACTACTACAGTTCAAATTGAAGAACAAGAAGTTCCAGATTCTTTTGAAGCAACACTAGAGCACGAAGAACAAGAACAAGAACAAGCTGAGTTTGCAACTCTACAAGTTTGACGGTCAATTCGGGAGAGGAGAGAACCAGCTTGGCACTCAAAATACACTATCGAGAAAAATGTTGCATACTGTCTACTAATAGAGGATGGAGAGCCATCAACTTTCCATGAGATTACAAAAAGCCAAGAAGCTTCCTTGTGGATGGTAGCAATGCAAGAAGAAATTGAAGCTCTCCATAAAAACAAGACATAAGATCTTGTTCCACTACCACATGGAAGGAAGGCCATCAGGAACAAATGGGTTTACAAGATCAAACAAGATGACAATGACCAAGTGGAGCGGTATCGTGCTAGATTGGTGGTGAAAGAATTCGCTCAGAAAGAAGGCATTGACTTCAACGAGATATTATCTCCTGTTGTTCGAATTACAATAGTTCGAGTAGTTATGACGCTATGTGCTACATTTGACTTATGCTTAGAGCAATTGAATGTGAAAACTATATTTCTTCATGGAGAACTTGAAGAAGAAATCTACATGCTCCAACCAGGAAGTTTTGAAGAAAAAGGAAAAGAGAACTTGGTTTGCATGTTGAACAAATCTATGTACGGTCTCAAACAGGCACCAAGGTGTTGGTATAAGATATTTGATTCTTCATCATGAGCCTTGGATTCAACAAACTTAGTTCAAATACTTGTGCTTACTACAAGAGATTTGGTGATGGTGATTTCATTATTTTGCTTTTGTATGTTGACGACATGTTGGTAGCAGGCCCCAACAAAGATTGTATCAAAGACTTAAAGGCACAATTGACTAGGGAGTTTGAAATGAAGGACTTGGGACCAACAAACAAGATTCTAGGGATGAAAATTTACCAAGACAGACATAATAGGAAGATTTGACTTTCTCAGAAGAACAATTTGAAGAAAATCTTGCAACGCTTTAACATGCAAGATTGTAAGCCAATTTCTACCCCTTTTTTTATTAATTTCATGTTATCCTCAAGTATGAGTCCTAGTAGTGAAGCAGAGGGGATGGAAATGGCTTAAGTACCATATGTATCAGCAGTGGGTAACTTAATGTTCGCTATGGTTTGCACAAGACCAGACATTGCACAAACAGTGGGAGCAGTTAGTCTATACATGTTGAATCTTGGTAATTAAAGAGCATTGGAACACTGTAAAGAGGATCTTGAGATATGTCAAGGGTACCTCAAATGTTGCATTATGTTATGGAGGATCAAACTTTACTGTCAGAGGATATGTTGATTCAGATTATGCAGGTTTTCTTAACAAGAGCAAGTCCACTACAGGTTATGTGTTTACTCTTGCTGGAGGAGCTATAAGCTGGGTTTCGAAAGTCCAGTCTATCATGGCCACTTCAACGATGGAAGCAGAATATATTGTAGCTACACAAGCTAGCAAAGAGGCAATCTAGTTGCAAATACTATTAGAGGAGCTCGGACACAAACAAGAGAAGATTGCTCTGTTTTGCAATAGTCATAGCACTTTGCACTTAGCAAAGAATCCAGCATTTCACTCGAAGACAAAGCACATACGAGTTCAATATCACTTCATTCATGAGAAGGTGGAAGAGGGAAGTGTGGACTTGTAGAAAATTCATACTAAAGACAACCTATCAGATGTTCTAACAAAGCCAATCAACAATGACAAGTTCACGTGGTGTCGATCCTCTATTGGCCGAGCAGAAATATAAGCGACATGGAAATGACAAGTAGAAAGGATAAAAGGATTGCAAAAGTGACTTTAAGTGAGAGAAATGTTGTTGATAAAGTCATTTTGGTCAAGGAAGTAACTACTTCTTAAATTAAGTAATTTGGTACATGTATACAATTCAAAAGTCATTAGTAATATTTATGTATAGAGTCTAAGGGTCATTCATTAATCTACTTATTATCTAGGGTTGCGTACTTGGTCTAGGTACATGATTGGAGAGTCTTATAAATTCTAGAAGTGTTTTGGGTCATGAGTTGTATCCCATTTAGAGCAGAAACAAAGAGAAAGAAACAGCGAGAGTGTTAGAGAAAGAGAGAGTGAGGGTTCTTCTAAATACTCATAGTCTTTCCTTTGTTAGAGAGAAGTTATTGTAAATCTTTTGTAATCCTTTTACAAATTGCCGTCACCCTCGCTACGATGTCCCTCAAGGCGAGCAAAGTTAGAATGTAGGGCCTCTAACAATCAAGTGGCTCCAAAATCATCGTTTCGAAGAGGTGGTCATCTAGGTAGATCATCACATGTGGCCAAATTGGAGAGAAAGGCATGCCCTAGGTGCAGTAGATGGTGCTAGTATGAAAGCACAACGTGTTCAATTATTACTTGCCCTAGTTGTGGCAAGAGGTTTGATCCCCAAACTTCATCATCACCACATGTGATTAAGATCTCTCGAGCTCTATTTTGGATGCAAAACAATAGGAGATTTTCTCTCTTGGTTCATTGAGAAATCATTGCTTTCCCAAGATGTATATAGTATATACATTCCAGCTAACTGGAGAACGAAGGCTTCATTCCAGTTTTGTGTATATATTTTTTTGCTTCCCTTGGGAAAGAAAGATGGCTAATTCTTAGGGAGTGTAGGAAGCCTCGAATCTGAAATCTCTCATTGCAAGAGGGCACATCAAAACCTCTTCCTTGTGCAGCAATGGAATTTATCAGAGTCATGCCTGCTTTGATTTGCTCTGCTCTGTTCCTAATTGTAGGGGGAAGGTGTTCAGCTGGAAGTGCCTACATTTCCAGGTGAACACTTAAACGTCTCATTTGTTTTTGTGTTGTTTTGAACAGGCTGCAGTTCCTAAGCTGTTGTCTTGTTTAAGGAGCACTAATCATGCTCTCTTACTTTGTCTAGTTCTGATTAATACAAGTTTGTTTATTTTCCGAAAAAACTATTTACTTATGTCGTTTTGATTATGAATCTATGATTACTTGTTTATGGTGATATATAGTTTTGGTTGGGAGGATAGTCCCCTTCTGGATTGCTGTGGATTGGAGTATATATCATTTCATGTGTTTGTGATTGCGCTTCTTATTTCTTTCTCTGTCCAATGAAACAATTTTCAAAAGCAGAAAGTTATAATATGCTGGTGACATCAACCATGCACTGTACACATGTATGTAAACACATGGGAGGGTATTTGGTATACCTTGAAACGGAAGTGGTTTACATATAGCTCGGATCTTTTGCTTGTGTTACGAGCCTCCACACCACGATCACGAACGCAAAACTAGTGAACTCAAACCACCAACAGTAACACCTCATGGTCCTCATCACAGTATAGATTACTAGTGTCTCACCAAAGAATATCACGCTCTAAGTTTCAGGGTAGTCAAGATGGTAACCCTGGACGGATCATGTGAGAGAGAGAGGAACAATATGGGAGCAAATACTCATTAAAAACGTATTAATAAGAAGTTTATTAAAAATATGTTGGGCTACAAGGCATATTCTGAAAATGTTCTGAATTTTA